CAACCTTGGTATAATCATTTATTAGTTCCAGGAGATTCTTTTTTGTCAAGTCTTTCAATTTTTCTACATGGACAATCACATCATCTTCAAACAGACAGTTTTATGAAATCCTACCCCAATCTGTAGACATTTTATTTCCTTTTCTTGTTTTATTGCATTATCAAGGACTTCCAGTACAATGTTGAAAAAGAGTGGTGAGAGGTGACATCCTTGCCTTGTACCTGGTCTTAGTGGGAAAGGTTTGAGTTTCTCTCCATTAAGTATGATGTTAGCTGTAGGTTTTTTGTAGATAGTCTTCATCAAGTTGAGAAAGTTCCATTATATTCCTAGTTTACTGGGAGTTTTTTTTTTTTTTTTTTTATCATGAATGGGTGTAGGCTTGGTCAAATGCTTTTTCTGCATCTATTGATATGATCATGTGATTTTTCATTTTTAGTCTGTTGATATTATGCGTTATATTAATTGATTTTCAAAAGCAAACCAGACTTGCATGCCTTAGATAACTTCTTCTTGTACATGGTGTACAATTTTTTTTTTTTGTACATTGTTGGATTTAATTTTCTAATATTTTTTGAGGATTTGTACATCACTGTTCATGAGGGATACAATCTGTTTTTTTTTTTTCAGGAAGATTAGCCGTGAGCTAACATCTGCTGCCAATCCTCCTCTTTTTTGCTGAGGAAGACTGGCCCTGAGCTGACATCCGTGCCCATCTTCCTCTACTTTATATGTGGGACACCTACCACAACATGGCTTGCCAAGTGGTGCCATATCTGCACCCAGGATCTGAACTGGTGAACCCCAGGCCACCAAAGTGGAACGTGTGAACTTAACCACCATGTCACCGGGCCAGCCCCACAATCTGTTTTTTTTTTTCCTTCTTGTAATGTGTTTGTCAGATTTTGATATTAAGGTAATGCTGGCCTCATAGTTTGAGTTAGGAATTATTTTCTCTGCTTCTAGCCCTGAGAGAGATTGTAAAGAATTGGTATAATTTTTTCCTTAAATGTTTGATAGAATTCACCAGTGAACCCATCTGAGCTTGGTAATTTCTGTTTTGGAAGGTTATTAATTATTGATTCAATATCTTTAATGGATATAGGCCTACTCAGATTGTCTCTTTCTTGTTGTGTGAGTTTTAGCAGATTGTGCCTTTCAAGGAGTTGGTTCATTTTGTCTAGGTTATCAAATTTGTGGGCATAGAGTTTTTCCTAATATTCCTTTATTATCCTTTTAATGTCCATGTGATCTGTAGTGATATCCCCTCTTTTATTCCTGATGTTTGTAATCTGTCTCCCCTCTCTTCTTTTCTTAGTTAGCCTGGCTAGAGGTTTGTTGATTTTATTGATCTTTTCAAAGAATTATCTTTTTGTTTTGTTAATTTGCTCTATTGACTTCCTGTTTTTAGTTTCATCGATTTCTGCTCTAATTCTTATTAGTTCTTTTCTTCTGCTTGCTTTGAATTTAATTTGCTCTTCTTTTTCTAGTTTCCTAAGATTGAAACTAGGATTATTGATATTATATCTTTCTTCCTTTCTTTTTTTTTTTTTTAAAGATTTCATTTTTTCCTTTTTCTCCACAAAGCCCCCCAGTACATAGTTGTATATTCTTCGTTGGGGGCCCTTCTAGTGACGTGTGGGATGCTGCCTCAGTGTGGTTTGATGAGCAGTGCCATGTCCGTGCCCAGTATTCGAACCAACGAAACACTGGGCCGCCTGCAGCGGAGCACACAAACTTAGCCACTCGGCCGTGGGGCCAGCCCCTCTTTCTTCCTTTCTAAAAAGTGCATTCCATGCTATAAACTTTCCTCTCAGCACTGCTTCTGCTGCATCTCACAATTTTGATATGTTGTGTTTTTATTTTCATTTAGTTCAAAATATTTCCAAACTTCTCTTGTGATTTCTTCTTTGACCTATGTGTCATTTTAGAAGTATACTATTTAATCATCACATATTTTGGAATTTTCCAGTTATCTTTCTATTATTGACTTCCAGTTTAATTCCATTGTGGTCTGAGAGCAGACATTGTATGATTTCTGTAGTTTTAAATTTGTTGAAGTATGTTTAGAAGCCTATAATATGGTTTGTCTTGGTGAATGTTCCATGTGAGCTTAAGAAAAATGTGTATTCCATTGTTGTTGGATGAAGTAGTCTATAGATGTCTATTATATCCAGTTGATTGATGGTGTTGTTGAGTTCAACTATGTCCTTACTGATTTTCTGCCAGCTGGATCTATTTCTGAGAGAGGGGTGTTGAAGTCTCCAACTGTGATAGTGGATTCAGCTATTTCTTCTTGCAGATCTATCAGCTTTTGCCTCATGTAGTTTGACACTCTGTTGTTAGGTGCATACACGTTAAGAACTGCTGTGTCTTCTTGGAGAATTGACTCCTTTAGCATTATGTAATGGCCTTCTTGACCCCTGATAACTTTCTTACTTTGAGGTCTTCTTTGTCTGAAGTTAATATACCTATTCCTGCCTTCTTTTGATCAGTGTTGGTACGGTATATTTTCCTCCATCCGTTTACTTTTAATCTATATGTGTCTTTATGTTTAAACTCGGTTTCTTGCAGACAATATGTAGTTGGGCTATGGTTTTTGATCTGATCTGAAATCTCTGTGTTTTAATTGATGCATTTAGACCACCGACAGTCAAAGTAATTATTCATATAGTTGGATTAATATCTATAATATTCGTTATTATTTTCTATTTGTTGCCCTTGTTCTTTGTTCCTGTTTTTGTCTTCTACTCCTTTTCTGCTTTTTGGGGTTTTCATTGAACATTTTATATAAACACAGTACACACAATGGAAACATAATGGTTACTGATTTGATTTGATCTAGAGACAGGAGAATGTTAAGGAGGTAGGAGCTAACATTTATGGAGTGTTGCCGTGGGCTGGTAGACAAAGACTTCCATGCTTGTTCCCTTTAATTCTTTCAAAATCTCTATAACTAGAGCCATTTTAAAGATAAGGAGACTGAAGCTCAAACGGTGTAAAATTGGCTTAAGACCCATGTCTAGCATATGGCCGACCCATAGCTTGAATCCAAATCTTTCTCCCTCCAAAGGCCATATTCTTTCTACCGAGAAAGGTCATCTTTTCCAGAAACTTTTTTGGGAGTAGAAATTAAGGAGTTTGCCTTCTAAAAGGTAAGAACAGATGATCTATCAGGAATCTCAGTTTCATCACTTTTTCATTAAGAAAGAAAAAAATCAGAACTCCTGAACGCAAGGCCTTGGTAACCAGCTTCTTGGAGGAAAAAGAAGCTAGAATGGTGCCAAAGGGCCTGACCCCACCAGCTCATCGCAGGGCCTGTCCTGCGGTGTGGACAGAGGGCCTGGATCTCAGGAGCCACCACGTCAGGAGGCTGGAAATTTCCTCCCTGACGATGAAGCCTCCAGTGATCTGGACCTGGACCAACTCACGGAAGATGTTGGAAAAGAGCGGGAGCAGCGGGAGGAGCTGCCACATAGAGACAACGCAGAGGAGCTCATCATGGCCTTCTTTGAGGAATAGTTGTGCGCTCTTTTCTCCTTCCTGCTGTCTCACCCTCCTTCCCTGGGAGCAGGAGGGACAGCCTCTCAGATGCTCCCTGAGAAGCTGATAAGTGCTGGGGCTGTTCATTGGCCCCAAGGTTAATTGGCTAAATTTGCAGTTGCACAGTTTATGTGTTAATAAAACGGGTTATTGTTTTAATTGGTTTGGTTCATCTCTAACCAGGTGCTTCCTTTTGGCTTTGCTCCCTCCTCCTCCATGTCACCATGTCACATCATTGTTTCTTGGGGGAGGCCTGCTCAGTATAGGAAGCTGGGAAGGCAGTGACCCCTGAGTCCTGGGAGAAGGACATCGAGACTGGGTTCAAATCTTGGCTCAGTCACCTCCTAGCTATGTGGCCTTAGGAAAAGCACTGTGGCCATTCTGGTTCTTGTTTTCATGCCTCAAGTGAGTACATCTAATACCAGATAGGGTCGTTGATGATGTTTAAATGAAGTGACGCTTGTGAAGCACTTACACGATACCTGCTACTTATTTTCCTTAGGGAAGGAGAATGGTTCGACTGGGGGCAGTCTTTGAGTTCCAGGCTGGCTACAGGGGATTTTGGGGGTTATTGTTCCCTGGCCTGAGGCGGTCACTGAACAAAAGTACTGGAGGAGGGATCTTGGCTGTGAGCTATCGATTAGAATTCATTGTTGGCGAGAAGGACAGAAGGTGAAGGGGATGTCAGTTTTCTCCTTAGATGCATTCAGGCAAATTCTCTGGGTACTTTTATTTTGGTGGGTAAGGCTAGGAAGTTGAAGAGGGAACTGGAGCAGATGGCTCTGTCTCAGGTCCCTGGTGGCCTTCAACACCTGCTGGCTTCTGAGTCGTGTGTGTGGCCAGGGTTATTTTTGGAAGCTGAGACCCTCTGCAGAGCTTACTCTAAGGAGCTTGTCACTCAGTCCACTCCTTAGACCTTCAAGGTAGAGTATAGGGTCTCTTCCTGGGGGCTCCCATGGGGAGAGGGGCAGGGAGGTGCTGCTGGTGAGGTCTAGCTGGAGAGGGCAAGGGAGACGTAGAGGATGATGTCATCCTGGGCAGTGAAAGAGAAGGGGGTTGGTCAGTGAAGTGGGGAGCTGTCCCCATCTTAGAGCAGCGATCCCACACCTGAGTGCCCTGCTGATACCACATCCCTCTATTCCTTCCACCCCACCTTCTCCAAGCTTCCCTTTAATTCTTTCTGGCCCTAGTGTGAGCCGCTTATCTCTGGTCTAGCTTGGGGCCTGTATATTGTGCTGGGAACAAACTAAGATCTGCTGGGGTCAGGTGGCAAGGCATCCAGGGTAGAGAAATGGGCAGGGGGCTCCAGTGCTGAGGTTATCTGCTACGTCAGGATCAGAGTCGTGTGGGATGGTGGGTGAGGAAAGAGGAAAATACTGGGGCACCTGTGTGGGTAGGGAGTGTGTGGGGAAGAAGGAAGACTGTGGTGGACAGTGGGGAGTGATGGTGGTAGGACTTACCTGTATTCCCAATATTCTCATACTTCTCCTCAGTGTTCTGGAAGGATCCCCTGCATGGGAACAGGAGGGTGCCTAGAGGCAGGGCAGGAAGGAGTTAAAACCCGCATCTGGTGGTTCTCTTTGTGGGGGGCTCTGCGACCTGCCTGGAGAGGCTCAGAAGATGAATGCAGTGGTGTAGGGTCAGAAGGAGGCTGCCAGGAAGAGGACTGAGAAGCAATTTGCAGTGTAGCCCAGCAGAGGTCGCTGAGTGCGCACTGAAGGCGGATTGTTCTAGTGACGTGGCTTTTATTGAAGGGGCAGAGAGGAGAAATCATCAGGCTGAGCTCCTGTCCTCTCTGCTGGCACTGCCTCCCTAAAATCTACAGCATGAAAAGCAGCAAAGCTAATCTCAGGTCCTCTGGGTGGGTGCTCAGGCCCTAGTCCTGGGAGGAGATGCCATGGAGTGGGGGGTGGGGGGGACCCAAGGAAGGCAAGTGGCAAGATTAGGGGAGGGAGAGGAAGGAGGGAGAGGTCTGTGTGAAGGGAGAATGTGGGAATGGGAACAGAGGCTGGAGAAGAGAAGGAGGTTGGAGGGTGTGAAGGACCAGGGCTGAGAATGGAAGGGGAGCCCGGCGAGAGGAGAGGAGGCGAGGCTGGGAGCTGAGGAGGGAAGCTGCTCTGAGAAAAGACAGCAGCGGAGGAGCTGGAGGCAGAGGATCTGTGGCCCTTCACCCAGGTCACAGGGAAAGGACAGACTGGACGACAAGCAGAAAGAGGAAGAACGTGGAAGAGGTGGAGGTGTTTGGGAAGCATGGTGTTCAACGTGGAGAGAAACCAGGAGGCACAGAAGGACAAACAGAAATGGGGACTAAAGGCGGAGGAAAGCGGGCACCAGAGAAGGATGAGGGGAAGCATTCTGCCATTACTGGGAAAGAATCAGAGAAAGTGCTGGACCCTTCGGTCCACTGTTCTCAGGGTTTCGTTTTTGTTTTTTGTTTTCTTTAGGAGACAGAGCCGCAGGAAGTGAAGGGCCTGGCCTGTTGCGGACACCTGAGGATGCAGACTGGAGAGTCAGGATGGGAGCAGCTGTGAAAGGCTCACTCCTGCTGTTCTCATAGGAAACTCCCTGTTTCACAAACCAGCGCCCCCTGCCCACCCTGCCCCACCTTGGAGGACAAGCACTCACCTGTCTGGGGTTCTGGCTTTAGTCCGCAGACCTGTAGGGGGACAAACAGGGTGTCAGTGTGCCATCCACGGACGGCATCTCTCCTCCTGCCTCCTCTGCTCCATCCTACTCTGAGACCATCCTTGGAGAGACCAGAGCAGCGAGCAGCTCTGCTGAAACCCCTCTGGGAAGGGCCTGGGACTCCGCGCCCACATCTGTTCTACCATTGTCCCCAGCACCACATGAGGAGAGCAGCTCTTCTCTGCACCATGCGCCCCCTTTGCCTTGCCCTCTCTCCCAACCGTTCCCTCTGTTTCTTTCTCCCTTCCTTGGACTCCCCTGCATTCCCCAGTCTGCTCCTTCCACTGCCGAACCCTGGCCCCCCCAGGCCGCTCCTTCCCTCCTCTTGTCACAGGCACCCCTCACTCCTGCCCTGACAAACCAGCTTCTTGTGCTTTCCTTCTGGGTTGTGGCTGTTTTTCTCTGCCACCTTGTGAACCTCATGACTGGAATCCGTGTTTGCACTGCAGCCCGTTCCTCTCCATCATCTTCCACTGACCCTCTGCTGTCTCCCCGTGCCCTCTCCCCCCACATCCTCCTCAAGTCTGTCTGCAGTATTTCCCAGGGAATGGGCCCCTGGTCCACAGACCTCCTCTCCACCACCCATCACCATCTTGGAGGTCTCATCATGCATGGTGACAACCCTCTGAACACACTCCAGTGAATTCCACTCCACTCAGCCATTCCCTGCACTTTTATTTTTCATTTATTGGCACTGAGAACTCTAAATATTAAGTGCTGGTATCATTTTCATGCTACAACTTTCTTTCCTTCCAGCTTTCTCTCTCTCTCTGCTATACCTGTGCTTTGACCTCACTGAGCTCTTGTCCCTTGATAATCCACTCTCTTCCAGGTTATCCAAGCTCCCTGCTGAGCCCTCCACTCTCCATCCTGCTCTCACTAGCTCCTTGGCCTCCTGTGTTCCCTGTCCTTGGGCCACACCCAGCTGACAAATCTCCCATCCTGGATGTGTCCCATGGCAGAGAATGCTATTTGCTTCCCCAATATCCATTCACTTCTTACTCAATTACAGAATCTGGATTTTATTTGTAGTGGCAGTGTGCTCCCCTACAGATAGATGTGGGATGTGTGACTAAATTTTAGCCAATAAAATGTCAGGGGAAGTCGTGGGTAGGACTTTCAGGAAGGCTCTTTAAAAGGAGGACAGACAGCTGGGGCATACGCTTTTTATCCTTTCATCCTTTCTCCTGTTTCCTGCCTGGATTCAGAAATAATGGGCTGGAGTCCTCGCAGCCGTCTTGGACCATGAGGCAACCTTCAGGATAGAAGCCAGTATCCAGGACAGTGAGCAGAAACATAGGAGCCTGAGTGCCTAGGGACAGTGGCCTCTGCTGTCTGCCTCCAGATGCTTTTATATGAGGGAAAAAATTAACTCAAGGTCATTTAAGCCACTATCACTTCTGGTCTCTGGTGCTAGTGGGTTTTATCTCATAATTACGATGGTCTTCGCCACTCCACAGTTATAAAATAGTCTCACATGCTTTCTTCTATCACTAGGGTTAGTTTTCTCCTCATCTGATTCTTTGATTTCCAAAATAAATGGAATTTGTTTTGGTGCAAATTATGAGGTAGGGAGATCATTTTTTCTTAGATGGCTACTCAATTGTTCCACCTCTACACCATTTATTACATTAACCATATTTCTGCACTGATTGGAAACGCTACCTTTTAACCTACTAAATTCTGCATGTATTTGGGCCTGTTTACATCCTGCCTGTATTTGGGTTTTCCTCTTCCCTTCCATTGGCTTTTCTGTGTATTAATATGACAGTGTCAAGTCATTTTAATTATTGTAGCTTAGTAATTATAAGTGCTAATGCTCATCTAGTGCTTACTCTGTGCCAGAATCTATTCCAAGTGCGTTACGTTCAATCATCATAACAACCTCCAGTGAAGTACTATTATTATTCCCATTTTATTGATGAGTAAGTTGAGGCAAAGATAATAGTACCATGTGCCAGGGTGTGCCCACCCCGGGTGTCAGACAGGATTGACGGCAGGCAGTCATATATGTTTAGTAATATATATATATATAATTATATCCACATTCTATGCTCATCACCTCTGTGCTTTAGTATCTGATAAGGCTAATCTAGTCTTGTTGCAAATTCTCTTTAAAGTAATTTCAAATCCATTTTGGAGGATGTTGGGGTATAAATAATCAATGCCTCCAGCCCTGTCCTCTCTGTGGGCTGTGAGTGCATACATCCAAATTTCTGATGGACATCTCTACTCAGATGCCACACAGGTATCTCAAACACAAAGTACCCAAACTAGAGAATCTTCGTTCTCTCCAAACATGGTCTTGACCTCTTTTGTTTCCTAATTTACTTGATGGTTCCATCATAGCCTCATTCACCCACGTTGAAAACAAGGGACTTATTTCCACTCCCTTGCCCCACATCAAGCCCATCACCAAGTCTTACTGGTTCCCCTCTTAAACTTTTCCAGGATCTGGCCATTCCCTCCATCCGCACGGCCAGGGCATTAGACTGACCCCAGCCTGGCCCACCTCTGGCCCCTCCACCACAGACTGATGTATCTGTAAGGCGAAGCTGAGGTTGCCACTTTGCTGCTTCACGTTGCCTCTGGACCACAGGCTCTTGGTATGATTTACAAGGTCCTCTCCTCCAGCTGCTGCCTGCTCCACAGCACTGAGCTACTTATAGGTCCCAGAATGGCTTCCTCCCCCTGGATGGACAGTGACCTCTATCCAACCCTCACCACTTGCCTGGCTAATGCCTTTTTAGTCTTTGAGACTTTTTGAAGGTGTCACTTCCTCTGGGAAGTCCTCCCTGATCACCTCTCCTTTGTCCCAATCTAGCATAGGTCTTTCCAATTGAGGCAATTAGCCCTTGAACCAGCTTCCACCTCCTTCTTCTTCTCCTTCTGAGTTCCTTGAAAGAAGGGCCTATGATTTATTTATTTTTCTATCTCCAGTTATAAGCCAGGCCCTGGAAAATGGGCACTCAACCAATACTTGTTGAGCAGAGCCAACTTCCTGTGCCTTCAGCTCTCTCCTTACCTTTCCAGGGCAGACCCTCCCCTCCCCGTGAACCAAGAGTAAGGACTGATGAGAAATGATTAAGTCAAGAGACAAGAAGCATAAAATGATCAGATTGTGGAGAGGGGCTGGTCTTGATCAGTGGTTCTCCAAACTTGATCATGCACAGACTCCCCTTGAGGAGACCGTTACAAATGCAGATTCAGATCCTCCCCCATGACCCCTGACCTCGAGCCCAGCAGGGATCTGCATTTTTAAGGGCACCTGGGGTCATTCTGATGCAGGTGGGTTCTGAGAAACACCAACTGGGAAGCTAGGGGAGAGGGCGGGGCTCCGGACCACTTACCTTTCCTTCTCTTCCACCTGAGGTAGACCATCAGTCCCAAAATTGTGATTTTCAGCACAGCACTGGCCAGTGCCACCCCAACCACAGGTTCCAGACTCGGGGACTGAGACTCTGAGTTCCTCTTGCCCCCTGAGTCCCTGCAGTCGACTGTGGTCGTGGTAGCAGTGGTGGTGGCAGCAGTGGTGGTAGGGCCCAGGGTGGTTGTCTTGACGGCTGAAAAGACATGAGATATAAGCAAATTCTCCCTTGGGGGTGTGGCAGTATCTGGGTGAAACTGTCACATCTTGTTCCCTAGTTTGGGGAATGTTGGGGGTGGGGAGCAACTCTCTGGAGCTCTCACAAGGGAGGGGAGTAACAGGGGAAATGCTGAAGGCTTAGAGTCCAGATCATGCAGTTTAAATCCTGACTCTCCCACCAATCACTGTTGTGACCACAGAACCTCATTTCATCACGGGATGAAATGGCTAAATCTCAGGATTAAAAAAAATTTTTAAATTGTGGTAAAAGACACAGAACATAAAATGTACCATTTTAACCATATTTAAGTGTACAGTTCAGTGGCATTATGTACATTTACATTGTTGTGCAACCCTTACCACCATCCATCTCCAGAGTGTTTTCATCTTCCCAAACTGAAAACTCTGTCCCCATTAAACACTAACTCACCATTCCCTCTTCCTCCAGCCCCTGGAAACCACCATTCTACCTTCTGTGTCTTTGAATTTGATTACTCTAGAGATGACGTATAAGTGGAAACAAACAGTATTTGTCCTTTAAACATGGTTGTTTTAATATGTGAAAAAACATCTACAAAGCACCTGGTGTATATAGAATGTGCTTTTAAGGTTAAATGCACATTTAAGTCCAAGAAAAAGATTGTACCTTCTTTTAATGGACCATAAAAAATTGACCAAATATTCAGCCAAAGAAAAAAGATCCAATTCCAATATTACCTTCAGGTCAGTGTGGATGGAATTCACTGTCCACTCTTACTAGAAATTAATAATAAAAATATCAATACCATTCCTCAATTGAAAAATTAAAATATAATCAAAGAAAAAATATAGTAACATGTCAGATAAAATAAAACTGATAGTAATGCATATTAAAAGCAAAACAAAACTAAAGCTACACTCAAAGTTAACTTCACAGTAGTAAACACTCTCATTATTTTAGGTGCAAAGAATATTAAAAGTGAAATTTTCAATTTCCAGAGAAAATGTACCAAAAACAGAGAGGAGCCAGCCCTAAGGAAACTCAGAGTTAGAAAGTGATGAAAACCTATGTTGGAATAAATTTATTAGGAAGTAGAACAGTGGTAGGAATAATAAATGCAAGAAGTGGTTATTTAGGGGAAAAAACACAAAAAAACTGACAAGACTCTTGCAAACCTAACGAGAAAGAAAGAGGCCATTGAAATCATGATTGAGCATGTGCTCAGTTACAGGTTGATAAGTCTAAGGACCTCTGTGAAGTGGATTATTTTCTGAAACAATAAAAAATTTGACAGGAGATCTCGTTAAGATGGCAGCATAAGCAGACTCTGAACTCACCTCCTCCCATGAACACAACCAGGTTACAACTATTTTTGGAAAAATTACTCTGGAGAGAAAACTGAAAACTGGAAAAAAGAACACCCAGAACAAGTGACAGCCCTGACTAAGCTAGAAGAGGCAGAAATTCCTGCTGGAGAGGAAAAAAGCCACCTTTGGGAGCAGTGGAGCATCTCAGCTGGCCAGGCGGGAGCCACCCTAAGGTACGTAGCCCTCCCTGGAGGAGTGAGGTCCGGAGCTGTGGCCGATACTGCTATAAGCATCCTTCAGACTCAGCCCAACTGAGACAAGGGTCTTACTGTCTGGCTTCACTGGCTATTAACTGCAGCGAGGATACCCTCAGAAAGGCTGTCGGCCAAAAGCCGAAAAGACCTGGGTCTTAAAGGGCCCACACACAAACTCACTCATTGCAGGAAACTAAAATCACCAGAGAGAAGGCTGACAGTCCTTTGGTGAAATGAGACTCACCTGGTGGGCTCTGGGGGTATCTTGATGAGAGGAGGGACCTCTCCAGAGACTGACACATTGGTGGGGCCATTGTTCTGAGCTGGTCCAGGTGTGCTGACACAGACCCCAGGTGGGCGCCATTGAGGTTCTTCCCTTTGCCTGTTAGCCCAGGGATCTGCCACACCCAGTAGAGCACAGATTTAATCCAGGGCAGGCAGCCCACCCTAGGGACCGGCCCCACCCAACAGCAAGTCCTCAGGGTACTTTTTGGCCTGCAATGACTGGGTGCCTTGATCCTCTACAGACAGGTGAATGTGTCTGCCTCTGTGGGGCAGGGCCTGTGTGAGGACCAGGTGAACTGTGGGGGGCATTGGTAGAGAGGCAGGGACCTCTGCTGTGCAGCATCAGGGTACAATCCAGGGAGTTGGCAAGTGTACACAGACCAGACTGTGTTGACAGGTGTGTGTGGTCCTGTGGGGGGTGAGGCTTAGCAGCAGCAGCAGACCTGTGCTTCACAAATAGCCATAAAAAGGATAAGCCCCACCTTCCAAAGCCTGAAACAACTGAGTGCTCCCATGCCTGAGGCCAGCCCCACTCAGCTGCACTCCTAAGAGAACTGACAACAGCCTTGTAGGCCTGAAGCCTATCACAACTGTAAGCCCCTGAGCCTAGCAACCAATTAAGAGGAAAACTGAAAGAGGAATGTGCTCACAGACTTTGTAGCTAATGGTGCTGAGGCTCCCCAAACTGGATTTACAAACAGTTGGCCAGGGAAGGAAAGACTAGATTCCCTGGGCACCTGAAGTAAGAGCAACCCTGCCACAGCAGAAAGATGCAAGTAGCCCACAAAGGAGTCACTCCTAGATCATTTTGACTGGTGATGAGAGGCAAGCACACTTCTGGGCCTCATAAGGCATCTCATACATAAGGCCACTTCTCCAAGATCAGGAGATGTAGCCGACTCACCTAATACATAGAAATAAGCATAGAGAAAGAAGCATAATGAGGAGACAAAGGAATACCTTCCAAGCAAGGGAACAGGACAAAACCCCAGAAAAAGGACTAAATGAAACAGAAACAAGCGACCTACTAGACAAAGAGTTCAAACAAAATATCATAAGGAGGGTCACAGATATTGCGAGAATTCGGGATGAACACAGTGAGCTCATCAGCAAAGAACTAGAAAATATAAAAAAGAACCGATCAGAAATGAAGCATACAATACTGGAAATGAAAAATTCACTAAAGGGACTCAATAGGAGAGTAGAGGATGCAGAAGAATGGATCAGTGCGCCAGATAAAAGACTGGAAGAAATCACACAAGCTGAACAGAAAAAAGAAAAAAGAATTAGACAGAATGAGAACAGTCTAAGGGAACTCCGGGACAATATCAAGCACGCTAACATTTGGATTATAGGTGTTCCAGAAGGAGAAGAGAGAGACAAACGAGCAGAAAATTTATTTGAAGAAATAATAGATGAAAATTTTCCTAACCTAAGGAAGGAAACATACATCCAAGAACAGGAAGCACAGAGAGCTCCAAACAAGAGAAGCCCGAAGAGGCCCACACCAAGACATATTATAATTAAAATGTCCAAAATTAAAGATAAAGAGATAATCCTAAAAGTAGCAAGAGAAAGGCCACAAGTGACATACAAAGGAAAGCCCATAAGGCTATCAGCGGACTTCTCAGCCAAAACCCTACAGGCGAGAAGAGAATGGCACAACATATTTAAAGTGCTAAAAGCAAAAAAACCTACAGCCAAGAATACTCTATCCTACAGCCAAGAATACTCTATCCATCAAGGTTGTCATTCAGAATTGAAGGAGAGATAAAGAGCATCCCAGACAAGCAAAAAACTAAAGGAGTTTATCACCAAGAAACCAGTTCTACAAGAAATGCTGAAGGGACTTATTTAAGTGGGAAAGCAATGACCACAAATAGAGATTAAAAAATTATTTAAAAAAACACAAAAACCAGGCAATAAAATCACTTGTAAAGGTAAAAATATAGTAAAGGTAGCAGGTCAACTACCTGTGAAGACAATATGAAGGTTAAGAGACAAATGTACTAAAATCACCTATTTCAATGATAAGAGGGTAATGGATAGACACACACTAAACAAGAGACTATATATAATTTGAAAAACATAAAGTGTGGCAGGAGGAGAGTGAAAAAGTAGCGCTCTTAGAGGTCAAGGTAAAGAGTCTATCAACTCAATATAGACTGTTATATACATAAAATATTAAATAGGATCCTCATGGTAATCACAAATGAGAAACCTATAATAAGTAAGCAAAAAAGTAAGACAAAAGAAATCAAACATATTACTAAAGAAAGCCATCAAACTGCAAGGGAAGAGAGCAAGAGAAAAAGAAAGGAACAGAGGAGAACTACTAAAACACTCAGAAAAAAAGTAACAAAATGGCAATAAATACATATTTATCAATAGCTGCTATAAACGTCAATGGACTAAATGCTCCAACCAAATACCATAGGGTGGCCAATTGGATAAAAAACAAGATCCATGTATACGCTGCATACAAGAGACACACTTCAGACCTAAAGACATTCTCAAACTGAAAGTGAAAGGATGGGAAAATATATTCCATACAAATGGCAAAGAAAAGAAAGCAAGGGTAGCAATACTTATATCAGACAAAATAGACTTAAAACAAAAACTGTAACAAGAGACAAAGACTGGCACTACATGGTGATAAAGGGAACAATCCAGCAAGAAGATATGACATTTGTAAATATCTATGCACCCAACATAGGAACACTTAAAGATATAAATCAATTATTAACAGACGTAAAAGGAGAAATAGACAGTAACACAATAATAGCAGGAGACTTTAACACTCCACTTACACCAATGGGTAGATCATCCAAACAGAAGATCAGTAAGGAAACACTGGCCTTAAAGGACACATTAGACTAGATGGACTTAATAGACATATACAGAACATTCCATCCCCAAACCACGGAATACATATTATTTTTCAAACACACATGGAACATTCTCCAGGATTGATCACATATTAGGTCACAAAACAAATCTCAATAAATATAAGAAGATTGAAATAAAACCACGCATCTTTTCTGACCACAAGGGTATGAAACTAGAAATCAACTACAGGAAGAAAACCAGAAAAGCCACAAAAATTTGGAGACTAAACAAAATGCTACTGAACAATGATTGGGTCAATGAA